CCGAGAGTTACAAAGTACTGACTTATGAGCAAATTTGACGATTTTTAGGCGAACTATAACTTCGTCCTCATGGACTAGGTGTTTCGTAACGGAACAGTCCAGGAAAGTAGAGTTTTAGATTCAAAACATCAGTTCATGCTATGGACCATTTTTTCAAATGGAATGTGTGATTTTTTAGCTTTTTATGAGTACTTTATAATCCTAGAATGTAAAACCACCAACTTATACATATAGCATATCAATTTTCTTCTTTTGGGAGGGTCTATCCGAATATGTCAAAATATTAAAATATGAGATATTTTTCTTCTTTCTGTTCTTATAGACCTGAATTGGCCCCATGCAGTTTTGCTTTTTTCACATTGCGAAATCATAGCTAAATAAAAGGACGCATGTTTACGGTCGAAGTAAGACTGATTGTAGCCTGGAAATTGTGCACTTCTATTGAAATCGAGCAACAGTATCGCTATTATAATGACCTGTTCTTGCGTGTAGTGAAGTGTTGGTGTTCAATGTGATGTAAATTATTTTGAAAAAGTATAAATAGTTTTTTCTCAGGTCAACACCTATGCCGTTCTATAAGGACAGTATTATTTTCTACTTTCGTCGCAAATATTTTCCTTTGCATTTAAAATCAGCTTCTCATCTTATCGCTGTTACACATTTGACTCCATTATTTTATTTATCAATTATTTAAACTTGTTCTCTTTATTTGGAGTAATACTTGTCACAAGTATATTTGGTCATTTGACCGGCGATGATAGATATGAATATAGGTATGTATTCAGTGTTAGTATGTTCAGTACTAAGATTTCTGGATGTGTTCCGATATATCTATTGAAGTCATACAACTATATCGACATACAGGGTGACTTCGAAGTTGAGTCATTTATTTTAACAGTGAGTAGATCTGATCAAAAGAAATGTTTTTTTCCTTTAACATTTTTGTGGTAAAATTAAAGTAACAAAGTTATAGCCCTTTAGAAGTTTGAGTACCGCCCTGTCTCAATAATAATATTATGTGCTCGTGTTTGGCAACAACGGATATAATCCGCCTTATCGGTTCATCGCATCGGAAACAAAAAAGCGAAAGAATTTGAAACGCTTATCACGATGTTTTTACTACAATTTTATTCAGTTGTATTCAGTCAATGTGTCAGTCGGTAACGCGTGAGTGAATAGTGGTGTTTGTTGCGTGGCTCAAACGAAATAAAAAATGGCACAAGTTTATGAAAATGCTGAACTTGTGGACATGATTCTTATTTACGGGGAGTCTTTACAAAATGATGCCGCGGCATCACGGATTTATGCTGATCGGTTCACCAATCGAGTGCAACCAACCCCTCGTGCCTTTGTTAATATAGTACAAAGGGCTCGTGAATCAGGTGACTTAAGACCTCACAGGGGAGGGCATGCCGGTGCTCCAAGACCGCACGATCAAATACAGGTCCGCACTGAAATACTTGTCGGGAGGATACTTTATAAAACAAGGTAACATTTTTTTTTAATTTTTACACACATATTTTGGTTTATCTTCCTTCTACAATCATTATCTGAAAATTAATGACTCAACTTCAAAGTCACCCTGTATAATGTACTGATGAAATGTAACGTGTCGTGTACTATAAGAAATTAAAAAAATATGGTGCTCTTCCGATTTCTTATTTGATTATAGTTTTAGGGTGAACGGGGATTGCCATGACGTTCGGCTTGAATCACTGGTCGAAAATTGCTAGCCAAGTATGTGAACGTATACAACAGCTGTACTTACGTAATAAAAAACAGAAATAATCTGGCGAAAGAAAAAGCCATTACTAAAAATAGTCTGAGCGATACTTAAACGTTTATTTCCGTAGACACTCGCAAATCCGAAATGATGGGGATACCAACTTGTTACCATTTGTCTCAGTCTATGAGTCTTATAATAGCCTAGTCAAGGTTACTTTATCTCGTCAAATTAAAGTCTAATGCAACAAGCATTACTGACGTTTTGGTTGCCAAACCGTCATCTTATTCCTTCAGTACCGTACTCAATTTCTTATATTACGCAGCCATAACAACTCTTTACAGCTTATCTATCTCTAGCTCTCGGCATATACAGTAATGGACAAAAGTATATAGACAAATATGAATATTTACCTAAATACCTTTAGGAAACGACTTCATACTTCATTCGTCCATACACAAATGCGTTATTAGTAGAAAAACTAAATTCCTTGTTTTTACATTATCTGCAATGAACACAATTCCAGTCTGAATATAAGCACTTTTTTATGAGGGGCAAAAATATGTAGACAAATTCTTTTCAACATTAGTTTAGTACAGTTTCGTGTCAGAAGAGGATTAGTTTGTGTTCATCAAGTATTGTGGAATAAGTTGAGTGATTTTAAGACCATGCCGCGTGGTCCAGAAATTTCTTTCGATGTGAAAACTAAGATCCTTGAGTTATACAAAGATAGTCAACGTCAAGTCGACATTGCCAAAAATGTGAAGCTGAAGCGTAAAGCAGTGTGGGCAATATTGAACAAATATAAACAGGTATCTTGGAAGCCTCTAAGAGAAGTGGTCGGCCTTGAAAACTAAATGCTAGATCAGTTGGATTAATAAAAGTAATTTCGTCCAAAGATCCGTTTAAAACCCCAAGACAATTAAAAGCCGAAATCGAGACAAAAGGAATTGTCAGTGTTTCTACGAAAACTATAAGTAAAAGATTAACTGATTTGAAGTTATTTGCACGTTGCCCGAGTAAGAAGCCGCTAATCTCGAGGAAAAACTGTAAGGACCGATTACAATTTGCACGGTTGCATCTTGATTGGAGCATCTGTGATTAGAAGAGGGTATCTTTCAGTGACGGATCCAAGTTCAATATGTTTGGATCAGATGGTGTTCATTACGTTAGACGTCCTAATGAACAAAGATTGAAACCCAAATACACTGCCGACTGTCAAACATGGAGGCGGGTCTGGTATGGTTTGGGGGTGCTTTTCGGGGTTTGGGATGGGACCTTTACATAGAATAGATGGCACTATGGATAAGTTTGTATACACAGACATACTAAAGCATGTCATGTTACCCTATATGGAAGACAATATGCCCTTAAGGTCAATCTTCCAGTAAGATAATGACTTGAAGCACACGTCAAATCTCGCAAAGAAATTCTTTCTGGATGAAAAAATACCAGTTCTCAAATGACCTTCACAGTCTCCCGATATAAACCCCATTGGAAATCTATGGGAATACTTAGATAAACAAATAGGAGATAAACATTATTCAAACAAGGATGTACTTTTTGCCGCTTTACAGCAAAAGTGGAGACAGATTGATGAATCTTATATCAAGAAACTTCTACAATCTATGCCGAGACGATGCCAGGCGGTGATTGATAATAATATGCTACAAAATATTAAGACAAACATGGTTGGTTTTCTATAATTCAATGAACTTTGCTCCTTTTTTCTATAATTGTTTTGCTTTGTTTATATATTTTTGTACTTCATAGTTCCAGTTTTTATCAATTAATTTTTGATTCAAGGGACTAATGAATTTATTTATGTATAAGTGACTATTATGCTATAACGAATTATGTATACAGGTTGGTGTATTAATAAAACAAGTTAAAAAAGAAATACAGCACAATATTAATTTGTCTATATACTTTTGTCCATTACTGTATATATCTTACATACAGATTTTTAATTCTTTTTACTTCTGACGCCACTGGCGAAAAATTTCAGGAATCAGATATTATGTTTTTTGGATGTTACATGAGATGTAAATCACGAAAAACCTTTTCACTCATTTCCAACAGTTTCTTCGACTGTCCATGAGTCTGTCTGCTAATCGTTTACCCCTCTATAAATAACTAGGAAAGTACCGCTCGGATTTTGATAAAATTATGGCACACGGTTACTACTATGCCAAGAAAGAAATATCTTAGTTTTGGAAATCGATCCAGTGGTGGCGGTGCTACAGGCGAAAAACTTCGTTTTTTGATGTTCCAGAGGATTCTGATCATTTTCAGAAAATTTTTTGTAGGGGTTAAATTTGCTGGTTAGGGATAGTATATTTATATGCTTCCAGTCCCGGTAAGTCTGAGTACCAATAAGTATTTCACACATCATAGATTTCCTTGTACATTTGCACTTAAAAGGAGAAATATTTTCAACACGCGTCGCTTACCAGTTGCATAGCAACGCTACGATAATATACCTGTGCACAAAATTTTGTGTGCTCCTGGCATTGATGGCGGAGCTGACTGGTTCAGTTATCTTGGCCGATGCTGTCGATAGGACAGGGATGGAACTTATAATTCGCAGCGTTATCAAATGGATGGCATTATCGGCCAATTTTATGGTTCTACACTTGGCTGATTTGATCTATTTAACTTTTTTTGTTATACATGCTGTCGGCGTTGAGATACGTTGTCGATTCAAGCAGAAACTAAGATTAAGTTCTTTCACCAATCGACTAGACTATACCATTCAATCTTTAGGCTTCCACTTCAGGAAATATATTAATTTGTAAAGTTTTTTTTTAAATATAAGGCAGCATAAACAAAAATATTATTTATTAGAGATATCGGAATAACGGCAAAAACCTTCTGTTTAAGATTCAGAAATAATTAGACGTAATAAATGTATGAAAAGGTGGTGTATAATACATCGTACTAATAATAGCATAAGTGAGTTCAGTATAATTGGATAGTTTGGTTTCCTAAAATTATCGCTTATAGTAGCTTAGTTAGGATCGCCTTCTCGAGGTGACTCTACCGCTAATGGTTCCAAAAAGTATTCAAGAGAGTTACATCACTGTACTAACCTGCAATTAGTTTTTAAAACCTTTTTGACAAGAAAATTAAATTGACATTGAAAATGTACTATCACAAAAAGTCCTGGAAACGTTGAATTTTGCAACAAGCAGTCTAGAATTATTCCATATACTTTAATTTACAAATGTCCTTATTTACATTATTCTACTATTATTTTTCTTCTCATTATTTACAGATATGAACGACTGCTGCGACGTGCCAAAACGGAAGACTTGACCGAGGTATCTGGTATCGGATGCCTCTACCAGAGCGGCGTAGATAGGCTCGGCAGACCTGTAGTAGTGTTCATCGGGAAATGGTTCCCGTTCAATAAAATAAACTTAGATAAGGTAAGTCGGAACAAACTCCTGATATAAAATACAAAAATGTAACAAACGGACAGTATCAGTTTACGACAAGACGTATCTAGGTACTTGAAGTAGTGCGTGCTTTGGGCCAACTCGTATAAACGGCTTTAATAATTATTCCTTGATCCAGCCTCCCTCGCAATCAGATTTATGTTCTCCTTTCGTTGAAAATTGTTTGGCTAATAAAGGCCATATGTACGGGGAAATCTGTGTGTAAAAATTTGTCTAATAGGTGCATGGAACTACAGGAGTTGAAAACCTATAAATATTAAAAATTCTGATGCGAAATTGAGATATAAACAAGAAACTCTGACATGTTGAAAAACAAAGTTTGCGTTGAGAAAGGGAGGATGTTTTATTTGATATAATATGATAGGGACGTATCGCCGAGAATTAGATGGAGGAGTATAAGAACAACCTGCCACTAAAACCAAAGCTCCCAAAGGAAAAATTGAAATATTGAAATCCGGTGACCTAAATGACAATTCTTGGATGTGCTAAGGTGTATTTCGTTAATTTTATTATTTATATTTTTGGCAATAAAACTGTTTCCCTGGTACTATATTTCAGTTTTTAACAAAATTGATCAAAAAGTAAGTAATATAGCTTCGTTGTCCGACCACAGATGGCCTGACATGGACAGCTGTCTCGAGCTCCTGATCAAACAGTTATTAGGATTGTTTGGAAAAAAACTAAAAACGAAACAGAAAACTGACTTCCTGTATCTTGCAAACCGAACAGTCCCGGGCGTAAGTCCACATCAACTTGTGCTTTCTATTACCCAAGAAATCACCGCTTGATTTTTGTCAAGATACATTAGCACCACCCTGAGTAGAGCTTCTTTTGCCCAGTAACAAAATTAATATAACTATATATATATATATATAGTTATAGACTTTTATTTTTTTTATTTAATAATTATAATATTTGTAAAAAAGTTTTACCCTACGTCCTCTATCCTCCTCCTAGTGTTTCACCCCGTTCCTAATGAGTACATATTATGAATGTATACAGAAGCAATATATTTTTGTTTTTTATTGTTTATAAAGACCAAAGTTATCATTTCCAAAATAATCTATTTAAAATAACGGTTTCGGTTGATTGAAAATTAATTCAGTATTTTGAAGTATAGTATTTCCACCATCACATCATTTTGCTGGTAGAGCTAGCGTAGAGAGTGAAATGTCTTTTTCGTCCCTTCTTAGCTTATGGATCTTACGAGATCAATTTAGATAAGGTCTGTGCTCCCGGTTCCCAAGAATGCCTTGATGAATTTTTAGTTCCATTTCGAACTGCTGGAGATTCCGCTTGTGTGTCCCCTCGGGAACGTAGTGGAAAATTATATCGACCGGAACTGTGGTTAATGGAAATGCCAACAGACTTGAAGCGGGAAGGATGTTTTTGTTTTTATACGTTTACATGTGCATGTTGTAGAAAATACTACCATAACCCAATCATATAAGGTGAATAGCTTTTTCCGCGAACTTCGTTTCTGTTTATTTTCCGTTCTGCGCAACCAAATTTACCTCTATGGGAGTAAAATTCCGAAAATTATTGAAACACGTTCTTAATCAATTTTTCTAAATATAAATTGGATGAAATGTATTTTGATTTTCATGCAAACTTCCATCTTTAACCCTTTTAAGGGTAATTTCGGAAAACCCTCTCTTCGTGCGTGCTTACTATAATAAACCTATAAATTTCTTGTTTATGCGGTTAGCGATTTGTGCTCTGCGATTATGAATCAGTCAGTCAGGGCATTTTATAAAACGTATGTAGAAACACAGAGGGTAAGCATCAGGATCAAATATAATAAGCTGAAAAGTATCGGAATGCTTGCTTTGATGTTCTTCTAATAATTGGTCTCGTATAATCTCTTGTCGCTATTCAGAAATCAAAATTTGTCCATTTCTGGTTGTTGTGCTCAATGTCATTTGAAACTAATAAAAAGTGGCGTAAATTAGATTGACTATACTTCCCACGCCTTCGAAACAACTTCCATAATTTTCGTCGTATGCATATCGCCTCATCTGCTACCTGTTTTTCCTCGCGCTGCCATAACTCGAGATCGAAAGAGCCAGCAAGATACGCAGATAGTGTTGCTGCACTAAGTAAGCAGACACGCGTTCGAGACATGATGCGCGCTTGTAAATATTTCTCCCAGTTCTAAGGGCAACTGTACCGGGAAATCTATCTGAAAAACAGTAGCGGAAAAAAAATTGGAAACATTCTTAGTAATATTTAAAAAGTGCGCTAATTTTTTATTATTAAGGACTATTTTTTTCTTATGTAGTTTGCTTACAGTCTTGAGGATACAAATGACAATTTGTGATTTTTGTGGTACTACAGACTAGCATTAAAATACCTTCATATTACTTTATGACAAAAAATGAGACGACAAAAGTATGGAAACATATTTTTTATTACAAAATTAAATGCAATAACTCTACAAAAAGATTTAAAAAATACTGTTTAGCTAATACCTATTTGATAGCATAACCTTTAGCATTCAACATTGCCTAACATCTGCTGCTTTTTTACAAGTGTCTGTTGGAATATTTTGCCAAATATTGTTTACATAATGAAATGAATTGTTCCTATTTTTTTAAGTTTTTCTTGTCAGTTGTCTTTTAACATGCTCCCAGAGATGTTCTACAGGGTTTAGGTCGGGGGATTGCGAAAACCATGTAAGAACATTAACATTTTTTAATCTTAAAAAGTCCTTTACGAATTTTGAGGTATGCTTGGGGTCATTATCTTGCTGGAATGTCCATCGTAAAGCCATTTCTTTTTCAGCAAAAGTAAGCACGAGTTCATTAAGAATATCTTTTTAAAGTTTTTGATCCATTTTCCCGACAATCTTAACAATGACACCCGTTCCAGAACTAGAAAAACAGCCCCAAACCATAATGTTACCTCCACTGTGCTTAACTGTTGGCATCTGATACTTTTTGTCGGATCTTTTTCATATTCACATATATGCCGTACCGTCAGATACAAACAAGTTAAATTAGCTTTCATCGCTCCATAAAACTGTATTCCATTGTTGTTCTGTCCAAGTTAGATGAGTTTTAGCACATTGAAGCCGAGCAACACGTTTTTTTTTTTAAATGAGAGGCTTTTGCACTGGACGCCTACCAAAAAGCCCAAAATCCACCAATCGTCTCTGCACTGTTCTGACAGAAAGAGCCTTGGCACCCTCTCCTACGATTCTTTTGTAAATCTGTGTCGCTGGTATTTGAGGATCTTCATGGGACAAACGTTTAACCCTTAATTACTCGCATGAAGAACATTACATAACTGCTCGCATGGGGTCACAGGTGACCCCAAGTTGTAGGCTATTTTTTTAATATATATTAAGTATAAAATGAAATCAAACTATTTTATTATTAAAGTGCTTTATTTATATTACGATAATTAAAAAAAATAACATGAATTACTATCTAATGAAAAAAATTAAGCTTATATAAAATAATAGTTGAAAATTAACAATTTGTACTTATATCAAGAGATCAAGGCAAATTTTTATGATTATGTTAGGAAGTATCCGAATCACTTTTCTTGCACTGTTGACAGTATATGTCTGAGTGATCATTGCACACAAACTTTGTGCACTTTTTTCATTTAGTCGATACTTTTCGATCACTTTTCCGCGGGCAGTTGTTGCAACGCCCACGTTTTGCAGTGGTTGGTGGGGCGCGGTTGTCCAAGTCATGCACTTCTATAAGGCGTTTCTTTATTACCTTAGCAGTTGAATGGACATCAAGCCGACGTTTCTGGTGATTATGGATAAGTTCAACGGACAATTGCCGCAAAAAATTACCCCTCATGTGAGTACGTGATTTAGTGGTATTTGCCCTATGTACAACGAGAGCATTTATTCCTACAACGTTTATAAGATGGAAGAAAATGGCTAACGGCCATCGTTTGATTCGCCTTCCTACGCTGTATGTACCACACAAATGATCATTGGTGTCCGCTCCTCCCTTAGTGCTGTTGTAATACATAATTATTTCAGGCTTCTCCTGATCACCTGAACCTGGGTCGATGTGAGCTCCATGGTGCATGGAGGATAACAACACAACAGCTTGATTTGGTTTTGGCACATATGAAACCATGGTTAGTGTCTTTTGAAACCCGAACAGAGAGCTGAATTGACTTCTAGTTCTGTCTGGTAAAAACTCCTTAGGTATATCGGGTTTGTTTTTCTTCAGCGTTCCAAGTAAGGTGAGCTTGTAAGGTGGATACAATAATTCAGTTGCAAGTTTCACGTTCGTATACCAATTGTCTGTGGTAATATTACGGTTATTACCTTTTATCGGCTCTACAAGACGTCTTACTATGTCATTAGGGCTGTTTGAGACCTGGTATGGACGCGCAGGCTGCTTTCCAGAATAAACCTCAAAAGCCATCAAATAAAAAGTTTTAGAGTCAACCATAGCTTGTTTTTTTATGCCGTATTTCATCAATAGTAACATTTTCACCCGGAGAATAGGCTTCTTGAAATTTCGCTTGCAACATGTTACAGATCTCACGTATAGCTGCTAAGTTATCAATTTGCAAACGTTCAGCTCGGGTTAGCGGCAAGCCTTGATCCGTGTTCTTGATATTTACTAATAATTTTCGAAATCATCCCTTTGTTCATTTTTAATCTTTGAGAAATGTCAACATTTCTGACACCACTTCTAAATAATTCAGTTACTTTTTCTCTTAAATCTTTTGAAACTTCTTTCACTTTTGCCATTCTCACTGATGTTAGTATTTACCGCACGCAATATCAGAGTATCACAGAACGAATAAATACGGCGAAACTGAAATGTTTCCATACTTTTGTTGTTACAAAAACTGTGATATTTAAAAAACGCCTGTTTTTATTTTCAGAGAATTTGAATATTGATAAGATAAACCTTGTACTAGTACGGGAGCCAAAGGCAAACTTCACAATTTTAATTTAGGTATATGACATAGTTCATAAAAATGTT